GGGCAAGGCACGGAGTTTTAGCTTCTTGTCAGAGCAGGCTTCTGATCCTGCTTGAGGTTCAAGTGCTAAAATGATCTATATGCTTCTTTAAATCACACAGAGCAGTTTATTTTTCTTTTATTGCCAATTTGGAATGAGAAATAACAGGGTTGATAGGAGAGATAGACACAGTAGGGAAATTATTAAAGATGTGTAATAATTTCAGAGGCAAAGGGATAGAAAATTTTAGGCTTAAGAGTACTTCTTTATGTTTTTTTTTCTGCTGCCTGATCATACTCCTTTTTTGGTGGTTTCAGGCCTGCCATATGTCACTAGTTGTTAGTTGCTGTCAAGTATTCTTTATTTATGGGAGCTCTGGTGGCCTAGTGGCAAGAAGGTGTGTTGCAACCCCGAAGGCACACTGTCCTTGGGAGACAGTGTGCCTTTGGGTTGACAGCTGAACCCACTGGGCCACCAGAGCTCCCTGAATGTACTTATATAATGGGTTATTTGAATTGCAAAAATGTGGAATCTACCTGAATGACCATTAAAAGTGAATAGCTGTGTAAATTCTGCTTATCCATATGAGCAAATACGGAGTTATTATAGATAGTAAGGGTGAAATACATAGATAGAGGGTGAAACCAGGCCTTTCCTTAGAGGCAAGAGTTTTGAAGCTTTGGGCATGTGGCCAGGAGGGACCAGTCCTTGGAGAAGGACATCATACTCAGAAGGGTGGAGGGACAGTGCAGGAGAGGAAGACCCTGGATGAGATGGATTGACACACTAACTAGGTTAATGGGGGTAGGTGTATCAGAGACAGTGAGGCTGGCTCAGGTTAGTGCAGAGTTCAGAGCAGTTGCATATAGGGTCACTCAGCACATAATAACAACAACGTAGATAGTAAATGTTGTGTTTCTACTGTCCTTGAGAGATGGCCATGGGTCTTAGTTGATGCAGTGATAGCTAATAACTCTTGTAGGGTGACCAAGATACAAATGAGGAAAGCAAAAGGATGGTATGACCTGGCTTTTTGAGAGCAAATGATTTTTTAAAAATCCTTTCCATGTTTGAATATGTGTGTTGTTAGGCACCGTTGGCTCAGCTTCCTCTCACAGTGACCCTGGGAATGACCATCTGAACTTCACCCTAGCCTGGACCATCTTCACAATCTCTGATATGCTTGAACCCGTAGTTACATCACTGTGCCAATCCATCTCCTGAGGGTCCTCCTCTCTCTTTGTCTGACCCTCCAGCTTTCCCAGTATGATGTCTTTTGTTCCTAGGACTGATCCCTTTTGACAATTTGCCCAAAGTAGGTAAGACAAAGTCTCAACACCCTTACCTCTAAGGAGCACCTGGGTTGCATTTATTCCAAGACATACTTGTTTGTTGTTTTGGCAGTCTGTGGGGTATCCAGTGCTCTTCTGCCGCACCAAATTTAAAGGCATTGATTCTTCTTTTGTCATCTTTATTCATTGTCTAACTTTCAGATGCATAGGAAGAAATTGAAAAGACCACATCTTGAATTATGCACACCTTAGTCTTTAAATTGGCATACTGGTTCGTTAGCACTTTGGAGTGGTCCTTGACAGCAGATTTCCCCAATGCAACACATCTTTGATGTTGTTGTTACCATGGATGTTGATTATGCACCCACTCAAAATGAAGTCATTGACAACTTCAGTCTTTTCTCCATCTATCCTGATGTTGCCTATTGGTCTGGTGATGAGGATTCTTGTTTTTGTTTTTTGTTTTAATTTGATTTATGTTGAGATGTAATCCATATTGAAGACTACAGTCTTTTATATTTCCACAGCAAGTGCTTCATGTCTATTTTACCTTCTGCAAGCAAGGTTGTACTCTGCATAACACAGATTGTTGATGAGTCTTCCTCCAATTCTGATACCACACAGCATACAAATTGAGTAGGTATGGAGAAAGGATACAGCCCTAACACACATCTGTCTTGATTTTAAAATGATACAGTGTTCCCTTGTTCTGTTCCTAGAAGTGGTAGACCAACTGTTTCTTGGTTTAGGTATAGGTTTTGCATAGCATGATTAAATGTTCTGAATTTCCTGTTCTTCTCAATGTCAGCCATAATTTGTTATGATCTACATAATCTACCTAGTCAAGTGCCTTTGCATAGTCAAGAAAACATAAACCCCTTTCTGGTATTCTCCACTTTTCAGCTAAGATCATCTGGCAGCAGCGTTGCTATTCCTCATTCTACAGCCTCTTCTGAATCCAGCTCGAATTTCTAGCAGTTCTCTGTCAGTGTACTATTCCAGCTGTTCCTTAAATAATCTTCAGTAAGATTTTGCTTGCATGTAGCATTAATGATATTTGATAATTTCCACATTTTGTTGCAGTACTTTTATGGGGAATAAGGAAAAATTTTTGTGACGATGCCACAAAATGATGAAAGAATATGGATAAAGTGGATAAAAGTGATTGAAGAGTTTAGGCCTGGAGTCAGGAGGAAGTGGCAGGAATAAGAACAAAATAAAGGAAGTGAAAGAGGATGGCATCTGTCTTTCTGCCTGCCTATCTGTCTGTCTGTATTCATTGCTTGTGTTTGACCATATGTTAATTTTGAGGATTTTAATGAAAGAAAGAGGAGAAAATAAAGAGAAAAATCTTTTCCTCTTTAAGGCTATTTCTAATTTTTGCTCTGTGTTTTCTAATAATCATTGCAACCTTGACTCCATCTCACATACTTTGAGCGTGGTGCCAGGAGGGACCAGTATTTAGAGAAGGACATCATGCTTAGAAGGGTGAAGGGTCATTCACAGGAGAGGAGAACGCTGGATTAGATGGATTGACACAGTGACTGTGGCAGTGGAGTCACATGTGTCAGAGTTGGTGAGGTTGGCTCGGGATAGGGCAGGGTTCAGGGCTGTTGTTCATAGGGTTGCTATGAGTTGTAGTTAACTTGACAGCACATAACAAAAACAGCAACAATTAAGGATAAACCTGAAGGTTTTATAACTACAAGTGTGTTTTAACCATTTAAAGGTAGTGATTTTTAAAAGAAACCTGGGGAATGTATTAAGACATATTCTGAGATAAAACAAAATTTCTGGGTTTTATGAAAGACTTGAGACTGCTTTGTGTTTTCATTGTCTCTTTGCTGTATGAAAACAGACAAACTCACTGCCATCGTGCCAGTTCTGACTCGTGACAACCTCCATCAGCTTTTCAGGGCTAATGGCAGGAGATTGCCCAGCTTTCGCCTGGGGAGCACCTGGATTTGAACCTTTTTAATTAGCAGCCCTATATATAACACACTCCACCATCAGGGCTCATGCTCTGCTGTATAAAAGCTGCCCATTTAATCCCAAAACTCCACAGAAGTGTTTTCATTCTTAAATCTAAGGAATACTGAGCTGTGTTAGGAGTAACCGGATTATATAAATATTGTGCTTGTTCCTGGCAGAGAAATAAGAGCTGCTCGGTGGGAAAAAGTGTGTGTGTGTGTGTGTGTGTGTGTGTGTGTGTGTGTGTACGCGCGCGCATTTTGTGTGCGTACATGTTTATGTGCTGTGTGTGCATACATGGGACGTGTACATGTGTGTCCATGCATACATATGTGTGCGTGTGTGGGTTTGTGTATGTGCTTGTGTTTTGGATACTTTCCATCAAATTATTTTAAGTTTTCTAGATTTATTTATTTTTATTATCTGCTTGTACTCAGTGGTGATAATTCTTCTACATAAAGAACTTTGTTTGGATATTATAGTATTGGCTGAAGATTTAAACCCTGCTTATTGTGAAACAGAAGTTTGAGAATTTGATACTGTATTACACCGTCACATGTAAACTCAGAGCTGATCCTAATCATTTATCCTAACACAAAGGCAGAAAATGAGGGAGTGTGAATGGTATTATCAAAATCACCTTATTTCCTGATCTTGTTTTGTATTTTCACTGTTTTTTAAAATGCATCTTACTACACTTGTGTACATTTGTTAAGATAATATTGCAAGGCCCTGGTCTTATAACTGAAGGTGTGCTGGAAAGGAGGAAACCCCCCAGAATCTCATTAGCTGATGTGCTCTGAAAGGAGAATTGCATTCTGGATATTTGATGCAACTAAAACACTCCAGAATTATGACTCTCAACCAGAGTTTCGACTTGTGCACTGCTATTTTGACTCAGATAAGCCAGGAGTTAATGGAAGTGCTAGTGTTTATCCAGGTGGTGCTGACTGCATTTTGAAAAGCTCAATTCTGGAGAGGAGGCATCAACATTCTGGGAAACCAATCATCCTCATAGGCAAAAGACCTGTCTTGGTAGGCAAAAAAACCCCTGAGTGGTACTTCGGGTAATTTATCTGTCACAAGAGGGTGGGAAGAAGAGGAAGAACAAACCGGAGCCATGGCCTTGCGAGAATGGAGCGGTGAAGGGGACCTGAGGTGTGAAAAGTTGTGGCAGCCGACCAGGCGGTCTGTGGTCTCCATCAGCTCTGGGAGTCCTGTCAAACATTTTTATTTTATTTTATTTTATTTTATTGTCACTGTTGCTTTGTTTTCTTGAGCACATTGTCCGCTTCTTCCAGAAAATTGCCCTCTCCCTGCCTGTGCCAGTCACCCTGGCTAGGCTTCATGGCTGCTGTCCCCTTATGTGTTTGAGCCTGTGGTCTTCTGCTGCTTCTCTCATGCGTTTTCTTTATGATGTTTCAGCTCATCCACCATACACCATGTGCTTTAGAGTGAAATTCTACCCACATGAACCCTTGAAGATTAAAGAAGAGCTCACCAGGTATTTTTTGTTTGTTTGTATGTTTACCACGCACCCTTAACCAGCCAGGGGCTCTCATCTCGTGGGCACACCTGCCTCTGGTCAGAGCAGAATGTCTCCACCACACAGCTACTGAACTCAGCTTTCAGCATGGAGTGTTTCTGTAACACTTAACTGTCTTGGGATTTTCAAACAGTTGTCATTTGGAGTGTAATTAACTGCATGGAAAAGCAGTAGTTATGAGGGGGAGGCGTTCTCTCTGAAAACATCTGACAGTGGGGTACTAAAAATAAATAGGAGACGCCTGGCTCTAGAATAGTGGGAAATTCAGTGAGGGTTCGGCCCTGAGGGCTTCTCTCTGGGAGCATGGCCGTTCTGGGAGGGAAGGTTTCTTGCTAGACGTGTGGTTTCCAGCGTTGCACATTCCAGGGCTCCTGACTGATCAAGGTGATTTCCTTCTACTGTAGCCTTTTCTTAGCTCTTCTCTGTGAAGCCTCCAGTCTTCAGGCTTTCTCCCCTTTTTTCTCATCTTCCTCTGCTGGGCACATTCACTGCTACCTTCTGGGGAGTTACATCAGGAAACACCCTCAGCAGGTGATACTGAAGCAGGCTCCTGAGTGGACTCTGAGCAGAGGAGAGCTTCACTGCGCGTCTTGACATGCTCTGATGGGGTGTCCATGGAGACCACTGTCTCAGAATAGCCCGAGCAGGCGCAGATGTGACAGACGAGCAGGGCCTCTGACTCCCAACACTTGTGTGAAGGAGTAGTGGGGTTTAGAATTTTGTTTCTTTGTGACTTACGAGTCTGGGGTATAGACTTACTGAGTGCTGAGGGGACTTGGGAAGTGAGCAGGTGACTTGTTTCTAGCACTGATTTGCACAGCCATATAGGGAGCATTGTGCTGAGGGTGGGGCAGGAATGTGAAAAAAGGGGTACATGATGACTAACATGTAATAAGTGGTGGCTGATGTTTTACAGTCTGGTCTGCAGTTGTTTTGTTTTGTGGCATATTGTTTGTTTTATTTTAATTGCTGGAGATTGGCCACTTTAATGATTTTAAAATGTACAGTTGCATGGCCTGAACTACATGTATTGTGCTGAGCAGCCATCCCCTCTGAGTAGCTCCAGAACATTTTCATCAGCTCAAAAAGGAGACCTCACACCACCCAGCCATCCCCTTAGTCCCTGGTGACCACATGCTTTCTGTCTATGGACTTGTCAATTCTGTATATTTCTAGTAAGTGGAATAATCTAAGATATGGCCTTTGCCTGCTTTTTTGCTGATGTAATTTATTAAGTGATATGATAACATTTTCCTCAGTTCCTCCTGTGTCCAGGGACAGGCCTGAAAAAACTACAAAAACAGAGAAGGAAAGAGAAACCGGTGGAGGGAGAAAGAGAGAAAGAAAATGTCATGTTCTTTCCTCTGGCTCCTGATAGTGTAATTGTTGTTGTTGTTGTTGTTAAGTACCATGTGACTTGGGTATGACCATAGCAACCGTAAGAATAACACATCTGAATCCTGCCCTATCTTGTATCAACCTCATCATCTCTGATACGCCAACATGTACAGAATATGATATATGAAGCTTCACCATCCTTGCCCGCAACAAGTCCTCTGGCTACACTTTTCGCAAGACATAACTCTTCAATCTTTGGCGGCCCATGTGATAGTCAGTACTCTTCTCCAGTACCACAACTCAAAGGCATCAGTTCTTCTGTTATCCTTACTTTAGCTCTCAGATGCATAGCAAGTAATTGAAAAGACCATGACCTGCATTCATCAGGTACATCTTAGTCTTCAAACTGACATTATTGCTCTTCAGTATTTTAGAAAGATTCCTGAGAGTGGACTTGTCCAAAGCCATACATTTTCTGGCCTCCTTACTGTTGGTACCAGGGTGTTGATTGTGGATACAAAGAAGTCATTCACAGTTTTAGTCCTTTCCACATCTATCATGATGTTGCCTATTGGTAAGGATCTAGGTTTTCTTGATGTTGGGATGTGGTCCATATTGATGTTTGTACTCTTTGATCTTCTGCAGCAAGAATTTTAGGCCCTCCTCACTTTGAGCAGGAAAGATTGTGTCATCTGAATAATTTAGGTTATTGATTAGTTCTCTTTTGATCCTGAGGCTACGTTCTTGGTCATAGAGTCCAAATTTACAAATTGTTTGTTCAGAGTGCAGACTTAATAAATGACATTCTGATGCATGCCTTTCTGACTTTTTTAAAACCTGATCATTACAGTTTAATAGAAAAGTGTGATAAAAAAATTTAAAATCTGATACATAAGCCTTTCTGATTTTATTTCTTTTTTTTATTAAATTTTATTAGTTTTAATGAACATTTACAGGGATTTTGGGTTTTCATTCCTTCATTTCTGCACCATTCTCTCTACCCTCCTCCCCAGTTTGTTCTTCTTCCCCGCCA